GGTTGGGGAAAATAAGAGATTGATATGGGTTAAAAGTCAATTGAAATTTTCCCAAGTATAGTCATGGAAGGGGGAACTTATAGTATGCATATTCCAATTGTCAATCATGAACTTTGTTGATGTTCTAGAGAAGATCAGGCTATAAAACAATACATATAGTGTTAGCAAAAACTGAACTAATAAGAAAAACATACTATTTCTAGTGTACCGAGTTTCGATATTATCAATGGATGAGCATGGTATTTTAACAGAGTGGCCGATGAGGCATTTTTAGTTCAAGAAGTACATCAGTATATTACTCGGTTTGGGGTGCATTAACCCATTGTTAGTATCAACCAGGAATGCGACTGTCAGCCTAATCTGAGGGATCATAATGAACAAAGAACTTGAGTTAAAAAGTCAAAATAATAAACGTAACATCTCTCAATAGGCAGTAATAAATAACATATGGCATGGCAATGCAATGGGTAGCTTAACATGAGGAATCGAAAAGTCCTCCAGAAGAAAGGAAAGTGTTGTACTCATGGTAAGAAAGGAGGCTTAGTCTTGTATTCAGAAACACTGCATGTTCATAACAAAAGGCTAATGCACAATTTCAGATGAGGAAGTTCATCATGGTGATGTGGATGTGCCTGTAGATGTGGTGAGACAAGACGAGGAATTCAGTACATCTGTGCATCGCTTTTTGGATGGTTGTTGCCAACACTGAATTTGTGGTAGTTTCTGGGAAGTATGAGGTTGGATTGGAGAATATCTGTCTTTAATCTATAGATCGGGAAAGTCCAGGGCCTTGAAAAATGGATCAATGACTCTTACCATTGAGATAGTGTGGATAGAGTCTTTGTGATTCACAATGAGTGTGAAGGGCCCACCTGGCTTGGAGGGTCAGCCATGAGAGATCTGTGTATAATTGGATTGGAGCTCCATGTAAGAGCAGGGTAGGCAATGACATGCGTAAATTTCTCAGGATGTCTTCTTTAGGTATAAAGTAATGCACCCTAAAGCTAATATCTTGGTGGAGGCGGGGAGGGGAGGGGAGGATGTACCCCTAGAATTCAGAGAGTGATGATCCCTGCTTAGAACCACATGATTCAGTGAAGGTCTCCATTGTTATGTTCAGGTAGACCCCTGATGTGCAGGTTGTTTCTGTGGCCTTAATTATCCATATCATCCAGGCAGTGTTGAAGTGTGTATGAGCATTGATCATAGATTGGAGCTTTGGGACCTAAGAGACTAAGAGGTCCATATAATCCTTTAGATCCCCCCACTCCATCACCAATATGATCACATGTCCACCCCAATGGCATTCAATTTTAGCTGGAATGAAGTTTCCAATTTCCCCAGGATATGCGCCAGGTCTCCCTTTGTCACGGCTGCTAGTGTGGTCCAACGCACATGTAAACATATACATACAAAAGGAAAGGAAATAAAAGGACAGAGCGTAAACCGGACCTTAGAATGGCCGGACTAATACGCTAGAGATAGAGAATGCTCAAAGGGAAAGCCGAGGTCAAGGAAGCCAGAAGTACTCAGATACCGTTTAAACAAGCCAAGTCAGGGGAACCAGAATTCGGAATAACCAGGGAAAAGCCAAGATCAGGATACCAGGAAGTAATATTCACAAAGATAAACGCACTCTAGGGAACCAGGAACAGGAAACCACAATAGGGCAAGGTACTGGGGTGAATTAGGGATTTAAATATCCCTCTCTAGGCTCTGATTGGTCAGAGAGTGACCTCTGACCCCAGAACGTGCGCGTGCGTTGACGTTGTGACGTCACGCGCACGTTCGTATAATTTTGGGGGGTGGAGCCATGGATGGACGCGACCTCATGGTCGGTGCCATCTTGGATTTCCCCGAGCGGCGTGGAGTAACGGTTCCCGGCTCGACGCTGAGCAGGTAAGCTCAGTGAGTTGGTGCGGTCGTGCCGGTTGGGCACAGACGCACATGGCGGCGAGCCGGGGGCCGTGACAGTACCCCCCACTGGAAGACCGCTCACCGGGCGGGAAGGAGCCAGCTTGCGAGGAAAACGGTTGTGAAATGACCGGACAAGAACCCAACTACGTTCCTCCGGGCCATATCCCTTCCAGTCAACCAGATAAGACAGAACACCTCTAGAGAACTTGGAGTCTAAAATAGTTTGGACTTCGTAATCCTCTTGATTACCTACTACCAAGGGCAGGGGAGGAACAATCATTTTTGTGTATCGATTACAAGTGAGGGGCTTAAGCAATGATACATGGAAGGAATTAGTAATTCTCATATGAGCAGGGAATGCCAATGAATAAGTCACAGGGTTTATACGACGAAGGACAGGAAAGGGACCTATGAATTGAGTAGCTAGTTTCATGGAAGGAACCTTGAGTTTGATATGACGTGTGGACAACCCTGTTCCCCACTTGATAAACAGGATTGGCACCCCGTTTCTTATCAGCTTGAACTTTAGTAAGTTTAGAGGCATTCTGTAATGCTGAATGAACAGAATCCCAAGTGTCTTGGATAGAAGTCAAACGGGTGTTTAATGCAGGAATATCAGTCCCTGAAAATGCAGAAGGTAAAATAGTGGGGTGATAACCTTGATTTACAAAAAATGGACTCTGACTCGAGGATTCGTGAGTCGCATTATTTCTGGCAAATTCAGCCATGGGTAAGAGTTCTAACCAATTGGGCTGATTGGCATCGATAAAGCAACGCAAGTAGGATTCTAAAGATTGATTGGCTCTTTCTGCGGCGCCAATAGTCTGAGGGTTGTACGAAGAGGAAAATGAAAGTTCTATGCCCAACTGTTTACAGAAGGCACGCCAGAAGCTAGAGATAAATTGGGTTCCTCTGTCAGAAACAATGTTTTTTGGTACTCCATGTAAGCGAAAGATTTCCTTTATGAAAATTTGGACTAGATCTTGAGCAGATGGCAATTTTTTAAGAGGTATAAAATGTGCCATCTTGGAAAATCTATCTACAACCATGAGGATGGTGTTATGTCCATTAGAACTGGGAAGTTCCACAATGAGATCCATGGCTAAATGGGTCCATGGAGCATCGGGTATCGGAAGTAGCTGTAGCAACCCAGGAGGAGATCGATGAGCTGTTTTAGAAACCGCACATATTTGACATGCCCCTACATAGTCTTTAACATCGCCTCTGAGTGTAGGCCACCAAAATATTCTGGAAATAGCAGAGAGAGTTTTATGTATTCCAGGATGTCCTGCAGTCAGATTGTCATGAAACACTCCAAATACTTTCTTCCTTAATAAGGGTGAAACATACAGTTTGTCCTGGGGTTTCCCCAAGGGTGCCTGAGTTTGATCTGCTATTATGGCACCAAAGAGTGGAGAAGATATTTCAGTAACTGTAGTAGCGATAAGACATTCTGGAGGTACGATCGGGGATACCTCTTGTTCAGGGGCTTCATCTGTCTCAAACTGTCTAGAGAGTGCATCTGCCTTGGTATTCTTTGTCCCGGGCCTGTATGTAATTATAAAATTAAACCGGGAGAGGAATAATGACCATCTAGCCTGTCGGGAGGACAATCTCTTAGCATCCCCAATATAAGGTAAATTCTTATGATCGGTAAAAATTGGCTCTTTGGAACCTTCCAAAAGATGCCTCCATTCCTTAAGGGTGAGAACAATGGCCAGTAATTCCCTATTCCCGATGTCATCATTTCTCTCTGCTGGAGTTAATTTTCGAGAGAAAAAGCCACAGGGATGTAACGGCGCATCAGGACTCTCTCTTTGAGACAGAATGGCTCCTACTCCTGTCTTTGATGGATCTACTTCTAAAATAAAAGGTTTGGTCGGATCAGGGTGCGTCAGGACAGGTGCTGAAGCAAATAAAGATTTTAATTTTTCAAATGTCTCCTTTGCATCTTTGGACCATAAATTACAATTTGCTCCTTTCTTGGTTAGGTTGGTAATAGGAGCGATTACTGATGAGAAATTCTTAATGAACTTACTGTAATAATTTGAAAAACCTATAAAGCGTTGTATAGTTTTAAGGCCTTTGGGAAACGGCCATTGCAAGACTGCTTCCAGTTTGTGTTGGTCCATTTTGAAACCAGAAGGGGATATAACATAGCCAAGAAACTGTATCTCAGTCTGGTCAAACCGGCATTTTTCAAGCTTACAGTATAAGCCATTTTTTAACAGGGTTTTTAGTATGATTCTCACATGTTCGTGATGAGTTTCTAGGTCTGGGGAATAGATGAGAATATCGTCTAGATAAACTAGTACGAATATGTGAAGATATTCTCTAAGGACATCGTTAATCAAGTCCTGAAATACCGCTGGGGCGTTGCATAGGCCAAACGGCATGACCAGGTATTCATAATGTCCCATTCTCGTATTAAACGCGGTCATCCACTCATGACCTTCCTTTATTCTGACTAGGTTGTATGCGCTCTTCAGATCGAGTTTTGTGAATACTCGGGCACCCCTCAACCTATCAAATAGCTCAGAAATAAGGGGAATGGGATAGGCGTTTTTAATCGTAATTTTATTTAGACCCCTATAATCAATACAAGGGCGTAGGTCTCCTTCTGTTTTTAGAAACGAAGAAGAACCAAGCCCCAGCAGGTGAAAAGGATCTTCTTATGTGACCCTTTCTGACAGCATCCTTAACGTATTCTTCTAAATAAAGGGTTTCTTGAGGAGAAAGTGCATAAACTCCTCCTTTAGGAGGCATAGTGCCAGGTAACAAAGTAATGGCACAGTCGTAGGGCCTATGTGGAGGTAATACATCCTACTGAACCTTGTTAAATACTTCTTTTAAGTCCAAATACTGCGGTGGGATTTATGTGGTTAAGGGAGGTGCTATAGGTACATTGATGGTACCGATTCGTTTAGGCACCTGTTTTAAGCAATGACCTCTGCAACTCTTTCCCCAACACACAATGTCTCCTTCAACCCAATCTAGGCATGGATTGTGTTTCTGGAGCCAAGGAAAATCGAGTATTATTGGACATGTAGGGGAAGATATAATTTGAAAAAACATTTCTTCAGAATGTAAGAAACCTACTGAGACAGTGATTGGTATAGTTTCGTGTGTGATGAGAGGTTGAGTAAGAGGTCTCCCATCGATAGCCTCTACTGCTATGGGTCTGTATTTCTGCCTTAAAGGCAGAAGATGTTTGGCAGAAAATTCCTTATCAAGGAAATTCTCCGCTGCCCCAGAGTCAATCATGGCCTCACACTGAACAGTAGTTTTCTTACAAAACAGAGTGATTGTTATAAGAAAGCGGTTCTTAGTCAATTTAGGAGACATATACATCACACCTAAGGTCGGTCCCCGAACTTGCCTTAGGTGTACAAGTTTTCTGGCCAAACCGGACAAGAAAACCTCTGATGTCATCTTTTGCCACAATATAGACACAACCCCTTGTTGCGTCTGTATTGTCTCTCCGCCTTAGTCAGTTTGGTAATGCCCAATTGCATGGGTTCGGCTTCTGCAGGTGGAGCATGACTAACAGTCACTGGGTTAGAGAAACGAGGGGCTATAGTCAAGTTTGTACGTCTAGTACGCTGTTTGTTTTTTTCCCTCTCTCTGAGCCTGTTGTCAATGTCAATCATATATGCAATAAAATCATTAAGATTAACCGGAAGGTCTCTGGCAGTGGTTTCATCTTGTATATTTTCCGCTAAACTTTCCGAAAAAGCAGCCACCAAACCACTATTGGTCCAGTCAACCTCAGAAGCTAATTTCCTGAACTCTATAGCGTAATCGGCTACAGAACGGGTGCCTTGTTTTATTCTCATTAAGGCTCTGGCAGCGTTTTTCTCTTTTCCCTTTGGCTCAAAAGTGGCTTTAAATGCCGTTAAAAATTCATTATAATCACGGGCAACTGGATTTCCACTCTCCCATAAGGGATTGGCCCAGGTTAAGGCCTTGCCTATTAATTGGTTCATAAGATAGCCAATCTTTGACCTATCTGTAGGGAAGGAACTAGGGGAAGCCTCAAAATGATAATTAATTTGGTTAAGGAAACCTCTGAATTCTTTAGAATCACCTCCAAAACGAGGGGGAGGTGAAAGGGTTATGGATGGAGGTTTATGTACTACAGGTGCAGGTATAGGTGGCGGAACTACAGGTGGTACCGGGGGTGCCTCCAGAGAAGCAGTTCTCTGGAGTAAGGTCTGGAACGCTTAGGCAAACTGATCTAACCTGTTTTCCATATCCTCCACCCTGTTCTCACAGGCTATCAAATGGTTACATAGTTCCGCAGGATCTATGGCCCTGTCGTAATGTCACGGCTGCTAGTGTGGTCCGACACGCAGAAACTATGTAAACATATACATACAAAAGGAAAGGAAATAAAAGGACAGAGCGTAAACCGGACCTTAGAATGGCCGGACTAATACGCTAGAGATAGAGAATGGTCAAAGGGAAAGCCGAGGTCAAGGAAGCCAGAAGTACTCAGATACCGTTTAAACAAGCCAAGTCAGGGGAACCAGAATTCGGAATAACCAGGGAAAAACCAAGATCAGGATACCAGGAAGTAATATTCACAAAGATAAACGCACTCTAGGGAACCAGGAACAGGAAACCATGAGAGGGCAAAGTACTGGGGTGAATTAGGGATTTAAATATCCCTCTCTAGGCTCTGATTGGTCAGAGGGTGACCTCTGACCCCAGAACGTGCGCGTGCGTTAACGTCATGATGTCACGCGCACGTTTGTATAATTTTGGGGGGTGGTGCCATGGATGGACGCGACCTCATGGTCGGCACCATCTTGGATTTCCCCAAGCGGCGTGGAGTAATGGTTCCCGGCTCACCGCTGAGCAGGTAAGCTCAGTGAGTTGGTGCGGTCGTGCCGGTCGGGCACGGACACACATGGTGGACTGCCGGGGGCCGTGACACCCTTTTATGGCAATTTGTTTTTAGCAGGTCTCTGAGATCAGAATCCTGGAAGTACATTGAGCTATTGGCTGCTGCAAGGCTTGGGGGAGCCTGCTCTAGCAGAACCCGGTGCCATGTTGGGCTACGTATGTTCGCAATTGTGGTCGGCTAAATCCTTGAAGAATTTAGAGAGAGCACCGGATTTCCCTGTGGGTGTCTTGTCTGAGGTGTGCTGGGAGATGTGTTTTTTGGGGCGTCCCCTAAGATTTATTTAATGCCCCTGTCAGTGGGAATCTGTCTTTGCCAGTGCTGCTCCATGGTCATCCTAATTTCTATTGAAAACTTCTCTCTTAGAGCTTCAACTTATACACAAGGTTTATTCTGGAGATTGCAAACGTTGTGCTAGCTTTACTACTCCTTCTAGTCCTACACACCTCCATGTCTCTATTCAACTCTGTAACTTCTATATTGTTCTTCATAACCCCCCCTTCCTGTTTTTCTCAACACAAAATGTATGTCTTTCACCTTCTCGTATGTCCCCAGCAACCACCTACATAGAATAAAAAGGTATTTCACTTACCTATTCTTCCATGGAGTGCCTGTCTCTGAGATCTCAATAATCTCAGCCAATCATAGGCGTGCGCAGCCTATTGCATTAGGGTGTGCACCCTAAAGCACAAACACACGCCGCGTGTGTGTGTGTGTATATATATATATATATATATATATATATACACACACACATACACTGCTGTGTGTGCTGTTAGTGTGCTGTGTGAGGGTGCTGTGTGCTGTTAGTGTGATGGGTGTGTGAGGGTGCTGTTAGTGTGATGTGAGGGTGTTTGTGTGTGTTTGTGACTGTGCTGTTTGTGTGTGAGGGTGTTTGTGACTGTGCTGTTTGTGTGTGAGGGTGTTTGTGTGTGTGTGTGTGTGTGTTTGTGACTGTGCTGTTTGTGTGTGAGGGTGTTTGTGTGTGAGGGTGTTTGTGTGTGTGTGTTTGTCCTGTGAGGGTGCTGTTTGTGTGTGTGTGTTTGTGAGGGTGCTGTTAGTGTGCTGTGTGTGAGGGTGTTGTGTTTTTTTAAAGGTGCTGTGTGTGTTTGTGAGGGTGCGGTTAGTGTACTGTGTGTGTGTGAGCTGTATGTGTGTAGGTGCTGTATGTGTGAGTGTGTGTGTGCTGTATGTTTGGAGGGATTGTGGAGGTGGGGGCAGATTAGTAAATCTTTGCTGCCATGTGCCATCCCTGGTGGTCCAGTGGAGAGTGAACTCTAGCCTGCGGGGCTAGAGTTAACTCTCGCGACATCTGAGCGTTGCAACGGCAATGCTCAGATATCACGAGAGGAACCTGGCGGAGCTCATGTCTAGAGCTCCCTGGCTCCTCTCCTGCCTCCCTCCATGCTGCTGTGGGCCGGTGAGGTAGATCTTTGGTCTCCCCGCCGACCCATGGAGGCTTAGAGCAGAGCCGGCACTCAGATAGCGCCGGCTCTGCGTGAGCCGACAGGGGAGATCGTGTGTGTGTGTATGTGTGTATATATATATATATATATATACGTACACACACACACACACACACACACACACACAGACACATTCAGACACACTCATACACTCACAGACACACACACATTCACAGACACACACACATTCACAGACACACACTCACACACAGACACACACACACACACACATTCACAGACACACATTCACACACATACACTCACAGACACACACACATTCACAGACACACAGACACACACAGACACACACACACTCACATACATACACTCACAGACACACTCACATACAAATTATTATATTTTAATAAAAAAAATGTCCACCCAGCCTCCCTACATGGAGTGCTGGCGTGGACTTGTCCCTGGGGTCCAGTGGGGCGGGCGCCTCTTTCCGCCTCTTCTTGTAGGAAATCATTGGGAGGCTACTGTGCAAAATGCTGTGCTTCACCAATCAAATGGTCTCCTTGAGCAACAGTGATTATAATCAATTAAACCCAGCCATTCAGCAGAGTGTTTTCAGCTGCAGGGTTAAAATGGGAGTGGGGGTTACTCTGTGACTTAATTGATATGAAGTGGTCTATGTGTCTACTGTGTCCCTTTAATGGTGCCCACACTTTCCAAAATGATACCACTGAAATAGTATTGGAAACATGGAGTGGACTGCAGTGGAGATGGAAACAAAGCTAAGACAAGCTGCAAATGGGATTCTGGAGAGTGGAATAAATTGTTAACAAGCCCAAACTTTGGGCAGAATGTACTTAACCAAATATGCAAACTAACCAAAGATCAAAATAACACAACAACAACAAATACTACTACATTATTACGGACAGATTATTCCCAGATTTCCTAGTTTCTGTGAAAGACTTGTGGAAAACTATATATGCATAGTTCAGGCATCATTTTAGTTAAAACAGCATGATGCATTGGATGAGCAACATGGGCACAATATGGTAACTTGTTGCATTTGTAATTCTTTGATAACAGCAATGAGCAAGCAAAATTACACTATGAAAAATATGAAGAAGGAAATTAATATGGAGCCATAACAGTAGGAAACTTGGGATCATTCAGCGTCATTTAGATGATGAAGAATGAAATTAATATGGAGCCATAACTGTAAGTAACTTGGGATCATTCAGCGTCAGTTAGATGATGAAAGTTATTCCTCCCAGATGCCTAATTTAATGATATTAAGCTAAACCTAAGAGACCAACTAAATCAGGGTTAAGCAACATTAGGCACTCCAGATGTTGTGGACTACATCTCTCATAATGTTCTTACAGCCATAATGATGACAAAGCATTAGGGGATATGTAGCCCATAGAACCTAGCCCTGATTTAAATGTTCAATTCACCACAATTGTAGCACTATAGGCTGCAGCTAGGATGTGACTGGCAACCTGCAGACCTTGCAAGCAAATCTGCCACTGTGCAGTTCTCCCTGTTTGGTTCTGTACATTTTCTTTATTCATGAATTTATTTTGTGGACCTTGACTATGTTGATTATAATGTTGTTTATCTTAATGTTACATGTTTTGCACAAATATTTAGTGTCACCCTTTCTGAAGCTCTACTTTGTAGTATCACCTCTTGCCTAGCATTGACTATACTTTTTGGTGGGGTGGCTAGAAGTATTTTACTGCTCTGTCCTTGTCAATAGTAATAAATTGACTAGCATGAAATATATGCACTGCATTCAATGAGAAAATGGAAGAAAGCGTCTGACCCCAGACTTGACTGCCAATTAAAGCAACCATGTAGTTGAACAGGCATTAAATGAATAGTGAGCACCAAGAATCCTATGTGGTCATATGTGACAAAGTTACTTTTTCCATGGAAAAAATAACGGGGGAGCTAGTTTATTTCTTTTTTTCTTGTTTGTGATCTGGAGTTTTATTTTTCATATTTTAATAAAGTTGCCTACTTAAAATAGATTTGCATTACTTGTTGCTTTAAAAAAGTAAAAATATGATTTTTGCA